CTTCACCCGGGCCAGCTTCAGCTATAGGGGATTGTGGGCACTTGGCTTTGCCCTGGCCGCAGCCGCAGGTGCCTGGGACCAAGAGGCAGGCAGCTTGTCCCTTTCCCGGCATTAGCCACAGGTGCCAGGGACCACAGAGCGGGCGGCTTGTCCCTCTCCTGAGCCACAGGCGCAGGCGCAGGCACAGCCGCCCGGGATTGTGGGATGTGCGGCTTGTCCCTCTCCTAGGCCATAGCCTGGCTGGTCCCCATTCCTCTCTCATGAGCTCATTTGTGCCTGGCTGGTCCCCATTCCTCTCTTGTGTGCTCATTTGTGCCTGGCTGGTCCTCATTCCTCTCTCCCCAGTGTTGACTGTCTGAGCTGTTACAGCATGACAGCATGAGGGTGTGACAACCATTTGCATATTAGCTCTTTATTATATAGGATTGTAGTTTATTTCTATTTTCATTCCATTGTGATCTGAGAAGGTGCTTGATAAGATTTCAATCTTCTTGAATTTGAAGCAACTTTGCCTGTGTCCCAATATATGGTCTATCTTTGAAAATTTCCTGTGTGCACTTGAGAAGAATGTATATTCTATAGCTTTGGAGTGAAATGTTCTGAAGAAATCAACTATTTCATTCTGATCCAGTGAGTCATTTAGGGTTGCTGTTTCTTTTTGATTTTTTGTCTAGAGGATTTATCCAGTGATGTCAATGGAGTATTAAAGTCCCCTACTAAGATTGCATTGCTGTCAATCTCTCCCTTGAAATCTTCCAGAAGTTTTTTCATGTATTTGGTGCTCCTGTATTGGGTGCATATATGTTTACCAGGGTTATATTCTCTTGTTTTAGCAATCCCTTTAATATTATGAAGTTGCCTTCCTTATCTCTTGTTATGGCCTTCACTTTGAGGTCTATTTTGTCCAATATAAGTATTGCTACCCCAGATTTTTTTCATTTTAAATTGCCTATAGATATTTTCCATCCCTTCACTTTCAGTCTGTGTGAGTCCCTTGTTCTGAGGTGGGTCTCTTGTAGACAGCAAATATATGGGTCATGTTTTCTTATCTATTCAGTTACCCGATGTCTTTTGATTGGAGTATTTAACCTATTTACATTTAAGGTTATTATTGATAAGTACTTATTCGTGCATGGGAGTGGGGGGTCCCTCAGACCAGCCTGCACCCTCTCCAATCCAGGACCCCTCAGGACTGCTGGCTCCTAACTGCTCACCGGCCTGCTGGCCTGATCCCCCTAACTCAGCCGTGGGCAAACTACGGCCCGCGGGCCAGATCCGGCCCGTTTGAAATGAATAAAACTAAAAAAAAAAAAGACCGTACCCTTTTATGTAATGATGTTTACTTTGAATTTATATTAGTTCACACAAACACTCCATCCATGCTTTTGTTCCGGCCCTCCGGTCCAGTTTAAGAACCCATTGTGGCCCTCGAGTCAAAAAGTTTGCCCACCCCTGCCCTAACTGCTCTCCCCTGCTGGCCTGATCCCCCTAACTGATCTCCCCTGCCTGCCTGATCACCTCTAACTGCCTTTGCCTCAGCCCTGACACCATGGCTTTGTCTGGAAAGATGTCTGCAAGGTCGTCCAGAAGATGTTCAGTCTAATTAGCATATTATCCTTTTATTAGTATAGATGCCACCTTGTCCTAAAAATGCAGGTTGTTAGCAGGTTTTCCTATCATGGAAGGGGAGCCTGCAATAGCATCCTGGGTTCTGACCAGGGCTTATGCACTCATGCTTTATCTCAGCAGATGAGATTCCTAGAAGAAGACTCTTGGATGTACCTTGAACATTTCTATCGATTTTGCCAAATCATCCTCCAAAAATGTTGAACCACTTTAAACTCCCACCAGCAAC